AAAATGAAGAAGCAGATGTAACCACATTGCTCTTACAAAATATGATAAATTCTTATGATTAATGAATCATTTTAACAAGAGGCCCTCCTCACCTCACGCCTGTACTATTACAATAGCCTGATGATGGGCCTCTCTGCCATATGTCTTTCTTCACTCTAGCCCATCCACCTCTCAGTGGACAATGGGCAGATACGATCAGATCACGCCCCTATTCAGTAATTCCCATTGGCTCCCTAAATGTAAGATTCTCTCTATGGTTTGTAAGGCTCTTCATAACCAGACACTTCCTAAATTTCCAGTCTTCTTACATGTTAGGCAATCATAGCCACCTAGCCAATCATCATAGCCAATCTAGCAAGCTTGGCTTTCTTGTTCCTCACACTAGACACTCCCATCTTCTAAAGTCATACATTTTCTCTGGCTGTCCCCATGCCTGGAACAGCCTCACTTCTCATCTCCTCCTCTTGCCTTCTCTGGCTTCCTTCAAGTCCCAGCTGAAATCCCACCTTCTACAGGAAGCCCGCCCATGATCCCTCTTAATGCCTATGCCCTTCCTCTCTTGATTACCTCCAATTCACCTTGTTTATGTCTTATTTTTACATAGTTGTTTGGGTGTTATCTCTCCCATTAGACTGTGAGCTCCTTGAGGGAAGGGACTGGTTTTTTTTTTAACCTTTCTTTTTATCTCTAGTGCTTAGGCCAGTACCTGGCATACAGTAGGCACTTAATAAGTGAATGTTGACTTGACTTGTGGAGAGCAAAGAAGTTTTTGTACCATTAATAAATAACACAGAATAAACAAGTATTGTTCGCATCACCTTTATTGCATGCTTTTTAATGTCCATTTTTCAGTGTGGTTCACAATGTACGTGATATGTCAGTACAATGGTAATTTATATTATTTGTAAATAAATATACATTCAAGGGGATGTGTGCTCAGATATTTTCTACTGATAGGGATGCGTGACTTAAGAAATTCGAAGTCCCTTGTTCTGGAGGGATACCCTTGACAGAAGGCAGAAGACCTGGGTGCAAATCTTGGGTTCATTGCTTACTGACTCTGTGTCTGTGGAGACCATCTGACTCTTTGAGCTCCAGTGTCCCTGTCAGCAAGATGGGGATGATACCCGCATGGAAATCAATTCCATAAGCATTTATTAAGCACCTACTATGCACAGACACTGTGCTAGGGTCTGGGGATACAAAAACAAAGAGAGAACAGTCACTGCCTCAAAGAGATCACCGTCCACCGGTGAGAAATATAACATGTGTACAGATAGGCATTTATACATTTGTACAGAATAAATGCAGAGGATTGGGAAGCCTGGGTCTTCCCAGCTCCCAGAGATCAGCTCTCTGTCTATACTTCCACTGCTGGTGGAGGACTAATGTCAGACATAGGTAGATGTCAGTTGAGCTGGAGGCCTCCAGTAGAGTGCCAGGTTCTGGGTTCTGGGTTCTGGGCTTAAGCCTAAGCTATTAACATTTATAGTCAATGACTTGAAGAAAGTCTTAGATAGCTTGCTCATCAAATTTTCAAGTGACACCAAGCTGGGAGGAGCCATTCCTGAAGGAAAGGATAGAGTCTGGGTCCCAAAAGATCTAGGGATTCTAGTATTGAGACAGATCTAATAAGGAGAAACTCAATATGGGCAAATGTCAAGTCTTACATTGGGGTTAGATAATCAACTTCACAGGTACAGGATTGGGGAAGCATGGCTAGATAGCAGTTGGCTTGAAAAAGATCCAGGGATCTTAGTGGATTGTAAGCACGATATGAATCATCAGTGTGATGTGGCAGCCAAAAAAGCTCACATGAGCTTGGGCTGCATTGAGAGGCAGAGATAGCATTCAGGAAGAAAGAAGTGAGCATCCCTTTGCACCCTGTCCTAGCCAGACCATTTCTGGAGTAGTATATTGAGTTCTGGGTACCACTGTGTAAAGAAGACAGTAATGAGCTGGAAAGTGTCTAGAGGAGGGTGACCTGGCCAATCAGGGGCCTTGAGTCCGTGCCATCTGAGGATGGAATTGGGGATTCTTGGTATGGAGAAGAGAAGATTCAGGACAGACATGATGGCTATCATCAGGTATTTGAAGGACTATCATGCTGAAAAGGGATCAGACTTGTTTTATTTGGCAGAGGGAAGCAAGAACAATGGCTTGAAGTTGCCCGGGTATAAATTTGGGCTTGATGTCAGGAAGGGCTTCGCTGTGGCACCATCATGGATGAATGCCTGGAGGACAGTTCTACTCTTATAAATTTTAGGGGATCCTGTGGAACTATGCTTAGACTATGAGCCCCTACCAGTGAGCTTCCCTTTCACTGCCAACGAGTAGACACAAGTAACTTACAGGGAAGGCATTTATTAAGATTGCGTAGTAAGAACAGTAGATACAAAACATTCCCTCTTCCTCCCCTCACAAAAACCTGTGGAATAGTCTTCCACAAATATACACAGTGTCCATGGGAAGAGTGGAAACAAACTTGGAGTAGAATGGCAGTGAGGCAAGCAGATAGGGAACATGACATCTCTGGCATTATAAAATCTTGATGTTTATTCCCTCCTCCTGGAGTCTTCTCTGCAGCTCAACTCTTGAGACAGATTCATTTTTAAGCCATGATCAACTCTTTTCTCTGCTGTCAGAGATCATTTACCTCAAAGATGCTTCATGCCTCAAATGGCTGCCTCTCTGTGTCCATGTGTATCTGGAGAATATGAATCTCTGCTCACTCATCTAGGTCTAGGTCTTTCAAACTGACTTGTATCTCTACCAAAAATGTCATGGCCAGCGGGGGAGGGGAGGGAGAGCACATGCCCCTGGGGTATAGGTGCAAGGGTTGTATTCTGCAAGGTGGCTCCCTTCCTGGACCCCCTCAGAGCAGATGGACTCAGCCTTTTAAGGCCCACCAGGGATGTGGTCCATTGATGCTGGTCAATGGTGTTTAATCAAGGAAATGCTTTCACACTTAAGAAATGGATAGAGGGTAAAGAGCCATTCTTATGGTGTAACCCTTTGCTGTTGACTCCTTACATTCTCTGATTGTGTCCTGGGCTTTCTGGGCTAAAAGCTTGCTCAGAAACTATCTCCCCTGCACTAACCATTGTCCTGAAGTGGAATGTGTTGTGTCAGGAGGAGATGGCCTCCTTTTTGCTTCGGGTCTTCAGGTGGAAGCTAGATGACCACTCATTGTAGACATTGCTGAAGGATTCTTGTTCAGGTGTGGATTAGACCATAGAGCACTGAGGTCCTTTCTGACCCTAGCTCCCAGGCTTCTGTGGGTATGAGAGCTAGCCTGAATCTCCCCAAGAATCTCTTCTTCTCTCTTGGCAACCTGAGTGATCTTCATGTCTCTTGACACCCAGCTTCTCCTAACCTGTCCCTGGTTTGGATGCCTGGTTCCCTTTGAATCTTATTGTTTTATTATCCTAGAACCATAAGTATTCTCTAGCCTGCCATTGGTACTAGAGTTGGTGAGACCCATCCTTTTAATTGCATCTGAATATCTAGTTACATTTCTATGCTTTCTTCTAAGCCCTGGCCTCTGTTTATTCCAGAGCAAGAGAGTAGCTGGGAAGCTCACTCCTGAGGTTTTAGGCACGAATTTAGGGGGGGCAGTAGTAGTGGGGTTCTCGACATGTCATGCAGGGGAACAAGTTTGGGATTTGGAGTCAAGAGAACCTGGATTCTAATCCCTGTTCTTGTCACTTTCTACTTGTGTGATTCAGGGCAAGTAGGTCACTTTCCCTCTCTATCTCTGTTTCCTTGTCTATAAAGTGAGGGGGGGCCAGACCAGGTGACCTCAGAGGTCCTTTCCAGTTTCAAGTGTTTAATTCTACAAACTTCCACAATCCTTTTCCCTTAAGGTCGAGTCAGGAGCATAGAGCCATCCCTTCTCATATTTCAGCTGCTCCAAATCTCCATCCCTCCAGTCCTTCAGGGTCAGAAGAAACATGTCAAATCAAGTCACTGACTATTCACTCCAAAGTATTAGCCTGAAATTCCTCCTTCCCCACCAGGTCTCTTGATTAAAATTGTGTTTGTAGACAGTTTTTGCACCTCGAGGTAGGAGGGACATGGGATGGATAGGTTTTGGTTGAGTTTATTTCCAGTGGTGGGATTAGTCAGCTGTCCTTTTCTCTCCCGATAGTCTGAGTCTTAGCCACCCAAATGCTATTTACTGCCCAGTGGGATGGGCAGCAGAGATGAGCTAGGGTCTGGGAAGGAGGCCCTGAGAGGAAGGATGAAGGCTCGAGGACTGCGGGAATGGGGGGGGGAGTAGTCCATGGACTGGCTCTTTCCATGGGGATCAGGAAGCCCTGACTGGCTCTGTGTCATGAGTATCTGTGGTCATGTAGTTGTGTCCTAGGTTGCATGCTTGTGTGAGTATGTGTGTGTGTGTTTGTGCGTCTGTGTGTACATCCTGGTATGATTGAATCTGTGTACCTGTGTGTTTATAGGTGTCATGTGATTGTACATGTCTATCTGGGTGAGTGTCAGTGGCTGAGTCTCTGCATGATTGTTTGTTGACACTGTGTGTGTATGTGTGTGTGTGTGTGTGTGTGTGTGTGTGTGTGTGTGTGTATCCATCCACCTCACCTCTTCCCTTTGAGGCTGCAGCAGAGTCAGAGCCTTGGAAAGGAAACAGAAAGGAGAGAAGGGACAGTGACATGTCACCTGTGAACTCAGATCTCTCTGTCTCACACACGCACACACATCACAGGGCTCAGAACATGTCAGCATGCCCAAGAAATGCAGCTCCTGCTTTCCCTTGTGGTTTCTTCCACTCTGTCTGTTACCGTCTCCTTTCAAGGCCCCTCTTTCCTCTGCTCTCTTTGGTGGAGCATAGCTGCCAGAAACTGTCGGTTTTTTCTTTCTTTCTTTTTCCAGGCCTTGGGGTGAGATGATGAGAACCAGTGGTAGGAGGAAGAGCACGGGGTGGCGGATGAGGGGGCGGGGGCCCTGCCAGGGCTTCCCTCGCTGTTGAAATGGGGCTTGTTTCCTTTCCATTACCTACTGGTGTCTTGTAGGGCTGAGGGTGAGGACCCTCTGTGCTCTGGGAGGCAGAGGCAAGGCAGGCTGTTGCTGAACTGGTCCCATACCTGGGGTCTAAGGAGGCCAGCCCCCAAGGATCCCACCCTGCCAAGGTGGCCATGAGGCCCTTTTGGGGGAATGGGGTTGTCTTCTGCATTGGGCTACTTCTCTGGGCATCACGACTGGCACCAGGTATGTGGGGAGCCCACAGGGGCAGGACTCTTCTCCGAGATCCATCAGGCTCCAGCCTGGTGAGAGTCCTATGTCAGGAGGGTGATCAGCAGGCTGGGTGGGCAAGGGGGTCTCCTCAGGCACTGAATCCAACCCTGCTAGAAGGCTTTTGGGAATCGGGCTCAGAATGGAGATCAGCACACTGATCAAAGGGTACAACTGAGTGACAAGGGTAGGTAGGAAATGGTCAGGGGAGTGAAAAGATTCATAATAACAATGGACACTTTTATACTGCGTTATCTGGGATGAGAGAGAGAGAGAGAGAGAGAGAGAGAGACAGACAGACAGACAGAGACAGAGAGAGAGACAGAGAGAGAGACAGAGAGAGAGAGAGAGAGAGAGAGAGAGAAGGAGAGAGAGAAAGAGAGAGAGAAGAGAGAGAGAGAGAGAGAGAGAGAGAGAGAGAGAGAGAGAGAGAGGAGAGGGGGAACAAAGAGAGTGAGAGTGAGGGTGAGAGAGAGAGAGAGACAGAGAGACAGAGAGAGAGAGAGAGAGAGAGAGAGAGAGAGAGACAGAGAGACAGAGACCCAGAGACACAGAGAGAGAGAGAGAGACAGAGAGACAGAAACACTTTGAAGGGGCCTCGGAGGTAATCTGCTCCAATGCCTTCATTTGGCAGGTAAGGATGCTGAGGCCCAGGCTGGTAAAGTGACCTCCCCGAGGCCACACGAAAGGCTCAAAGGCAGGACTTCCCAGGAAGCCCCTTATAGGTCTTCTTGTCCAACCCCCTCATTTGGTAGAGTGTAAGTGAACTGCCCCAGATGACTCCGGCAATATGTGGCCAAGGCAGGATTTGAACCCAGGTTCTCTTAGCCCAAAGCCAGGGCTGCCAGCTCTTGTTCTAGTAGCCCACAACACCTTTCCCTTTGTACGGGGCCTTTAAGTCCGGAGACCTGATTAACAGCGCCCAACAATAATGAGGAATAAAAGGGAGCAGAGAATGGAGGGCTCTCTCCTGTGGTTCAGACACTGCTGCTAGAGGGGGAGCAGTCTGTGAGAACTTCATGGAGGCAGCTGCTCATGAAGTCCAAACCCTGGCCTGGATGGCAGGAAAGGATAAACCTCAGCGTGTCCCTGTGAAGAACGATGGTCAGTGAGATCTATTATATGCTCCTTGAAAAGCCTGGGGGAAAGGCAGGGAGAAGCCCCAGGCCATCTTTTATTCACAGAGAAGCTGAGGCACAGAGATGTTCTGCGGTTTACCTAGATTCCCAGTCTGAGAATTGGACTGAGAGCTCAGAGCTACCTCTGGTTCATAGCTTAGTCTCTGAAAGGGGCCCAGAGAAAGAAGCAAATAGCAGAAATGGGATTCCCACCAGGGGCTTGGGAATCAGAGGGCCTGGGTTCAAATCTCACCCTGGATGCTTTCTTACCTGTGTGACCCTGGGCAGTCCCTTCATCTCCCCAGGCCTCATTTTCCTCATCTGTACAAAGAAGGGGTTGGCTCTGAGAAAATCAGGCACCCTCTGCCTTTAGACAGGGCTCCACTCTTGTCTCTTCATCAGCGAAATGGGGATGCAGATAGTGCTGGCCCTGCCCACCCTGTGGACTTGAGAGTTGACCAAATGAGACAATAGATGTGAAAGCAGGTGACCAGCTGTCAAGGGCTCAGCAGAGGCTTTCCATCTGTGAGGAGCTTTCTCCATACAAAGTATTCATTGCCGCTACAGTGTGTCCTCCTTTGGAGATGTTTCTAAGGCACTTGGGAAGGATACTCCAGGGGTTTAAAAACAATTATAAAACACACACACACACACACACACACACACACACACACACACACACACGACCATGCGTCACATATAGGCACATAATATACTCTTTCAGGCTTATAGTCTTTTTTTCTACCACCTACATAAAAAAGAAAAAAAGGAACCCAAACCTTCCCCAAGCTTTGATAATCCTGTATCAGTTTTTCAGAAACAAAACAAGCTCGTATTTTCAGTTTCCTTCAGGGATATGTTTTACTGCTTCACACAAGACTAGGGGACAACCTGCATAACTTGGAGAGTTCTAGGTCTGGAAGGGGAAATCAGCCAATCATTCCTGGGGCTCTTGAAAAGCCTCCTTCCGCCATGTACATGGGAGGGGCCATGGCAGCTGCCAGCAAGGTCTCCATGGATGAGACGCCTACAGCTTCCCTGCTCTTCACTTTGGAGGGAAGGAGACTGCTGAGGTCTTGAGCTCCTCTTGTCCAAGTAGACACCTAAGGGGATGAATGACCCAATGCTGTGGCCGTGCCTCAGGCCAGCTCTTCAGGCTGCCAGGGAGCTGACCCTGGGAGAGATCTCTGCAGGTGATCCAGTCTCTTTGAGGCTGAGCCTATAGCTTACTTTTCATGAATCCACTAGTGCTTTGGTGAGAGGGTTTCTTCTACCCTCTGTGCCTCAGCAAATGGTCTTTGAATATTGCAGGGGCTGAAAATTTCATCACTCCAAGGCTGAGCTGGTGATGGACCTCTCCCAACTGATCAAGGCTGGAACTTAGATGATAAACATAGCCACACAGTTTCTCAGCAGATCTTTCTAGTTTGGCAGGGGACACACACACACACACACACACACACTTTCTGTTACGACTTTAAAACCAGTCCAAAGATTCCTATCAAATCCAAGTGTTATACGAGACACTTTCGTGGGATGGGGGAGGACACAGCAGAGAAGACCCCCAGGCACATGCTATATACTACATGGTAAGTCAGATTAGCAATGTTCAGGAAGGTTCCATGACTATAAGGTAGAGTTTGATTACATTGGATAAAGATTTTATTAAGCATCTACTTTGTACGAGGGGGAAGCAGATAAGTTGCTCAGTGGATAAAGCACTGGGCCTGGAGTCAGGAAGACCTGAGTTCAAATCGGGCCTCAGATACTTACTAACTGCATGACCCTAAGGCAAGTCACTTTACCTCTGCCTTAATTCATTGCAGAAGGAAATGGCAAACCACTCTGGTGACTTTACCAAGAAAACCTCAGGAATACTATCGGTGTGCTATGTTCCACGGGGTCACAAAGAGTTGGACACCACTGAATGAGTAAACGACAACTATAACAACAATGTGCCAGGCATGTCACCCATATCTGTTGGGGGCAGACCTTGCCTGATGGTCTAAAGGTGTACTTTCACTAATCTCTGATTGACATTTATTATTTCCTTCAATTATTGAAAAACATGATTCTGAGAAGTGATCCAGACTGCCAAAGAGGATCATGGTTCAGAAAAGGTAAAGAACTCCTGTACTAGCTGGTGTAGGGGTCCCTTCTGACTCTTAGATTCTGTGGTTCTGAGAAATAAAAAAAACCAAAACATAAGTGACTAGGAAAAGACCACAGATTTAGATCTGACAGGAACCTCAGAGGTGATCCAGTTCAATACTCCCACTTAACAGATGAGGAAATTGAGACTCAGAGATGGGAAGTGACTTGTCCAAGGAATCCTAAATAAGAAAATGACAAGAGTAAGGATTTGACCACAGTAGAAGAGAAAAAAACTAGGATCAACTTCGGATCAACTTCTGAGTAACCTGGGGAATAGATAATGCTCAGTGTGCCTCAGCACAGGACACATGAAAGAAGAGAGGGGAGGCAGGGAGGAAGGAGGGAGGAAGGGGAAACCAGGAGAGGGGCTTGAAGACATGCTGGGAAGGAATAGCTATGGATGTGTGGGTGGAGGAGAGATAGACTCAGCAGGAGGGAATTCATAGGAAGGCAGAAATTACTAAATGGAATGGCAGCAAGCAAAAATAACCACCTCATAAAGAGGAAGATTTGGGAGTAAAATGAAAGAAAATCAGCAATAGGTGGAGAGAAAAGCCCTAGGGTAAGAACCGAAAAAGGAGACTCATTCATTCATTCAACACACACTTATTGAGCCCTATCCATTCGGGTCTTCAAGGAGATCATAGGTTAGGTGCTTTTATTAAGTGGATTTGTTCTGTGGGGTCTGAATTCAGTCAAAGGGCCACACTTGAGGACCTAGAGGGCCACATGTGGCCTCAAGGCTGCAGGTTCCCTCCCCTGGGCTAGCAGATTGGCTGGAGGGGGTACCTCAGGCCATCTAGCCCTTCACTTCCATTTCACTGCTGGGTCAGAGCCAGTAAACAGCAGCAGAAGGATTTCAACCCAGGCCTTTTAATTCCCGGAGCCCTTCAGTTGTACCAAGCTGTCTTCCCCAGACCCCACAGGACCCAGAACAACATTGGGCCGGGGTGGGCATTCTACCTATGTGCTTTGCTTTGCTTAGATCACCCCCCAGCATGGCACTCACTCTGCGCCCCCCTCCCTGAGATGGCAGAAAACACAGATGGCATTAAGCAGAGGACCCACCTCCCCTCCCCCCCCTGCACAAAGACCCACATTCCCCAGTGGAAGAGGCTGAGGCTTAGCTGGAACACAGGATTTAGAGCTGAGAGGGACCTTGGAGGGCATTGTGGCTAAAGAATTAGGGCCTGTCAGCATGGAAAAGAGCTCTTAGAGGGAGTGACTCAGTGATAGCTTGGAATAAAATGAGAGATTTGAAGGACACAGAGAACTGGTCTCCATTTCAAAGAGACGTGCTCAAACTTGCACATTTGTATGAAACATAAGGCAGGGTGATACAGGCAAAGTAGCTCCAAGATTTGGACTCAGGAGACCTGAGCTAGAGCCCCAAGTTTCACCACTTACTAGCTTCATGACAATGGATCTTTTTGGAGCACCCCAGTTTTCCTTATCTGGAAAATGGGTACCATAGTACATTAACATTAATGGATGAATTAACTGAAATTTGCATTAACAGTAATCTGTAAGATGGCTATAATAACACATGGGTCATTTGCCTCACATGACATGGAAAAAATTATGCAAAGTGCTTTGTGATCATACAGAGATATGGAACTGTCAGCGATAACTGTTACCAAGGGCAGAATAGGCTAGGTAGGGTGGGAAGGGCCCTATCGTACTGCCTTTGAAAAACTTAAATTC